CGCACCAATCAGCACGCGCCGTTTACGGTGGCGGTTTATAGAATAAATTGAATTTTTATTTATTTTCAATTTTTTGCTGTTTATGTTCTGTGTTTTTCCAACATAGCCTACATAATTTTTATTAGCCTTTTGATGTAGCGTTTGAGTTTGCGAACTTTGCGAGACCTTCTGGGGGGGATATATCCCCTTATCCCCCCCCGTAGGTACCTACGCCACTGTTGAAAACGTTAAAGGTTATTTTGCACTGACAAATACTTTTTCTGAAGTTTGAAAAACATATAAGAATCTTCGTCAAGCGTTGAAAGATCTGCAAGTGCAATAATTTCAATAAACTCATGAAAATTCATTTAAACTACTCAAAACGAAATAAGGACCACTTTTAAGAGCACCTTGGTTTTTATTAAATTTTGAATAACCCTGGTAGAGGGATTATTTCGATTCACAATATAGATAAACAAATAGAGTGTGCACAAAAAATTTATATTGTGAATGGAAATAAACACTTTACCAGGGTCATTCAAAATTCAATAAAAATAAACGTGTTTTTAAAAGTGGTCCTTATTTCGTTTTGACTAGTATATATCAGAATCTTTAGGGCCTTGTTTATGAGTAGATATTTTCTCCCTCTCGCTCGTCCTGCGCTGTATTTTATATATATACAATGTACAGGGTGTTTCCCTATATATTGACACCCCACATGCAGCCGGGTGTTGGTAATTTGGTTCCTGGCAGGTAGTAAATAAAAAGGTGCTAGCCCCTTTTTGTTATGAATATGTAATTTGATTCCCAGACCCCTAAAGGGGGTTGCAATATTGGTTCTCATCTCATAATGAATATTAGATAGTTAGGTACCCGGGGGTGGGGTGTGCGGTTTAGGTAATAAGTTAGTAATCTTGTTGAAGTTAGTTTATGCGTTACCGCTTGTGTTTGAAGTTTTTAAACTGCTAATAATATTTTCTATAATGAATCCTGAAATAATTTTGAGTATACATGGAAAGCAGTTATTGATTTTGGATACCTATAAGTACGGTTTTCAAAAGCTTTTGAAAAGTGATGAGAAGCGGTGGACTTGTACAAATAGAAAGTGCAACTCATTCGTCCTAACTTTAGGCGAAAGTGATAAAGTTACAGTTACAAAGCACGAACAAGAACATTGCCATGATGCGAATGTGGGAAGCTCTGGACGACCTTTCCGAAAAACCTGCCGACAACTATAACTATGTATATTTGACGTTGCATGCGTCATGCGTTCGAAGGAATCTATACAATGCTCGAAAACAAATGCAGCCAAGTTTGCCAAAAAGCATTGAGGAAACTCTAGATCTTCTGGACGAGGTAAACATTCATAGAAATGAGCAGTTTCTACTTGTTAATAGTATAACGTACTTATTTTGGCAATTGCCTGTATTCTACTGCTACGGCTAGTCAGCTTCAGTTCGGAGGCCATGGGTCTATGGGTTCCTTGTATACATCTTACCTTTGGGCGCCACCAAGTTAATTGTGACTTAACTAGGAAGATAACCTAATGATGTTTAAACAAAACCTGTGCAATTGGAGAGCTTATCAATAAAACAACTAATTAGGTACAATAATGTATCTGGCTTCTTTATTAAAAAATAATAACAATAATGAATAGGGATAGCCAGGACATCATTATGGCTTGTACCAATTTATAAATATTTGATTATAAAAAAATTAATGTAAATAACGCATATATAAATATGAATTTTAAGTAAACATGACTAAAAACCTTTTGGTATTTACACTTGTGAGTGATAAGAAAACTACAGTATGGGTTACACTTTACCAACAGGCAAATTAAACACAGAAAGATGAAAGTTATTGTTAGGGCAACCTCAGGGTAAAATTCTAGAATTTTTTTTAAGGGGCACTTACCGACGTAATTCGGTGTCAGATGATTTATATAAGATTTGCCTAAATAGTAAAGGTGCAACTTACATGTATACAAGTGAAATGTATGTGAAAATCCAGAAGTTTCCAAAGTGAGATTATCTACAGGTTTGGTCTCACTATAGATAGGCTAAGGTATGGTAAGTGAGTCATGAGTCCTATCCACGTGGTATCTGTAACGTAGAACTCAATGTGGTTCTAGCAGAGCGGTACCAATAGAGTTGCTGAAGAAAGGCTACCAAAGCCCCAACTGAGAGCAATCTAGATCCAGTCTAGAATCTCTCTAAATACAGCTTAGCAACTGTCCAACTATAGCCTAAGACTGTCTAGCTACAGCCTAGCACTAGGAGTAGGAGTAGGATTGTCCAACTATAGCCTGAGACTAGGATTGTCCAACTATAGCCTGAGACTAGGATTGTCCAACTATAGCCTGAGACTAGGATTGTCCAACTATAGCCTGAGACTAGGACCCTATAACGATGTTCGTATAAAAAAACAAATCGAGCCCCAAATATTAGAAATAATCTTACCTCAAATTGAGGGATCCTCTAGACCAAAGGTGAAGTCTTAAACTTCCAAAAGCTGCGCGGAACAGTCCTATTGAAGAAACGAAACACGTGTTGTAGGTTAATAATCCTGAAGAAAATCTCAAACTTACCGAAACAAAATCCAAAATGACCAAGGGACGACTCCAGACAATTATCAATAAGAAATTAGTCTAAACCTTGAGTTCCCTGGCACAAAAATTCCAAAAAGTCTCGCCCAAAATCAAATAGGCCGAGACCAACCTTTCGGTATCAAGTCTCAAGATCAAAAGGGCTGATTCTTCCTTTAGATTTCGGAAGAAGGCTTTCACTTGTCAAACTTCTAATTTTGACATTGAAGAAAATTATAGAAAAAAGCGTGTTCAATTTCACTCCAAGAATACGAATTGAAAGTTTGGTTGTATAAAAATGACTGGTGAATATTGAAAAATGCCTATAGAACATATATCAAAAAGTAGAACAGGTCTAAAGAAAACGTCTAGACAAAACAGCTGTTCAATGACATGATGTAAATGAAAAATCAAAAAGTAAACAACAATTATTATCATAACCTCAGATTATTTATTTATCAATTAGATTTGCAAACAGAGATGATGAAAAAATCTCTCCTTTTCCTAAGATTCTAATCAATAACAGCGGGCCCTGCCGTACTGAATCAAACCTTCCTAGATCAATCAACAAAACTTGCAAACCTGCACAAAAAAACTTTCAGTAGAAGGCAGTAATCAAGGTAACAAAATCTGGGCACAGAAAAGACAGTTGTTTATTCATTTATTTCATTGTAGTTCTATATAGAATCATATCTACTAGAGCAAAACACAGTAGCATATCAAACAAAAAATTGAAAATGCTACAATAGTAGAGTTGAACAGATGGTGGTTTTGTCTTGTGAATCAAATCTTGAAATATTAGAAAAAATGACGCAAATTTATTTAGATAGCACCTTTAATAATTGCGCGCAGTTTTTCTGCTTTTGGGCTCACAATTCAGACAATTCAGCTGACCTTACACGCACTATTAATTCGTCCTTTTATAAAGCTCACCCCAATATCTTAATATTTTTGGAAAAACTGAAAGAATTTCTAACGGAAACGTACATTAAATTACAAAGTGTACATATTTCAGCTAAAATATATAACACAAAAGTCAAAAACCGCCAAAGGTTTTTGGCAAAAATTATAGAATCCTATTCTTCGAATGAAATAAGTCAATTACATTTTATTTTAAATGTCTTTCGTTTCATTGTGGTATCACTGATACATAGACTAAATAGTACCTAAAGAATGTTTATTGTAATGTATTAGTTTAAAATAGGTAATAATAAATAAATATTGTTAATACTGCTTAGTCTGTTCTATTGCCTACCACCTTAAGTACCTACCTCCAGGTAGCGGGAACCAATTTACACATAAAAATCAGGTAAACGAAAAGTTGCGGGAACCAAGTTACATATTTTTTTCTAACCCTCATTATCTTGATGGGAACCAAATTACATGTACCCCTGCAGCCTTTACCTTTACAGGTAGAAAAAGTGTGTCAATACATAATTTGTGAAGTTTTGGTTAAATTTTTAGGAGTGAATAAATAAAAATGAATGTCAGAAAAGTGAAATTTCTGACATTAAATGTTTGTTTCTGACAATGGATTCTTATTTACCTAAAACTGCACAACTTTTGTATTTCCACCTATCGTCTACCTGTAAAGGTGAAGGCTGACGGTGGGGTGTCAATATATGGGGAAACATCCTGTACATACACTTGGCCAAACATAAAACTGGTACAGGCAATATATATTTTACAAATTTGCCTAGTGTGAGTCAGGCTTAACAACAAAAAGTCTCTTCTGAAAAACATTAGACAAGTTTTGTCAATGTCAAAGCTAAACAAAAGTAAATGCAACATGATTTTATGTTATGTTTGGTTCAAGGATGACACTGACTTGACTCTTTTTGTAATTTTTCAGGTAATAAAAAAGGTCGATTTACACAATTCAACACAATAAGAAATGCGTAACAGTTTTATGATTGGCCAAGGGTACCTAATTTCTCCGGTACATGAAGTCTGTTTTTTTTAAAGATAGAAGTTAAAATGACATTATGTTGGCAATATAATGTAAAATTGTCAATGCTTTCGAATTTTTTATGTAGAAAAGGCTTGTGTTGCCAACATAGTTACTAAATTTTTGACTTGGGGAATTATCTTTAAAAAAAAACAGACTCTAGAAGGTTTCAAAAAGTAAAATAGTAATAGCAAAGCTAATGGAATATCCACATTGGTAATTGGTATACACCCTGATCAATGTAGCCCGTGTATTAAAAAATTTTCAGTTTGCAGGTGCAGTGGATTAGAGATAGAATCCAATCTATCTGCAAGGAATTTATTGCAAAAAAGTATGCCCGCATCCATGTTACTAAAAAAAATGTCCACTATGTGACAACTCTCAATGTTAAATCCGAATTATGCTACTATGCAATATTTAAAGCTACCATGTCTCTCTATTTGGTGAACTTAAACATAGATTACAGAAAAATAGAAATTTACTTACCGATCCAAGATATTCCACTTTCACCCAACACAATCGTTTCTCCGTCAACCCCGCCGCCGCCCAAATGGGGTATCAACATAGCAGGCATGCCCATCGTAAGTCCATAAACCAACAATAAAATATTTTTGATGCTCACAGCTATAATTTGAGGCATGCATCTTCTTAATTTGGATACTTTAGGTTTTGCACTAAAGTTGCTGCAATTTGTTTGATTCATTATTGATGAATAAAATGAAAAATGAGAATAGTTGTTTTGGGTGATGGTGCAATGACAACTCTACTAAAATATCTGGTAATTTAAATGTTAGCCGCCAGATTCAATCATTAAAAAATTTAAATTTGTTAAGATTAAAAAAATTATCTCTAGGACGACACAATTATCTTTATTTTTCCATTTTATTATTATTTTTTTTTTCAGTAGCGTACCTACATACTTCAATGAATCTACTATAAAGAAATCTTTTTTTGGAAGACATAGCCTAACGTCAAATAATTTCGCAATTTATATACAGGGTGGTCCAACAAAAGCGCCTCGGTCAATAAAAGCCAAACCGTTGAACTTATGGAAAAATGTTCTGTTTAAAAGTTTCATAGGCCATTAATTTTCATCTCTGCTACAAGCCAAAACAACGGTCAAATGAAGCCTCCATGGGTTCTGCAGATTCAACTTCAAATTGGTATTTGGGTTCAATGCAGCGTTGCCAAATTAGGATTTTTCGAAAAAAAAAAGACCAAAACATAATTTTTTTTTTAACTGTCATATCTCCGCCACTGTTTATTAATTTCCCTGACTAAGACATAATCTAATGTTATTAAAATTTCTCCTAACATATCCGCATTTTTCAATTTAAGTATAACGGGGCATCCAAAATATTTGTTTAAACAATTGAATTTAAAATTCTATTTTATTTGAGTTTCTTAGATAAAACACCCAAGTATATTATTATACCACTGAAAAGCTGAAAGTGTGCTCTTCCAGAAAATATCACATCTTGAGATTTTTCCTTAACTTTGCACAGTATATGGGAGACATAGCTGGTGGAATGGCTCAAAAAATCGTTAGTGTGAAGTTATCCATAAAATCTCAGCCATAAAACTATCGAATCGCGGTTAGGCCTACTTTTTAATATACCGGCCGGATTCTCATAGGTATATTCTGGCGGCTGTTTGTGCCATATTAGAGATAGCTATGAATGTTAGCTACTACTACTAGCGATCCACAAAAATTAATTTTGTGGGTGTCTCAAAAAAAAAAACCCTTAAAAAGTCGTGATTTTTGTCAATTTTCAATTGTAGCCTCTATAAGGTTGCTTGTGCCGCTTTGAAAATAGCTATACATTATACCTACTACTCTTAGCAATCCATAAAAATTAATTTTGTGTAATGCCCCGCCGTCTGAGTGTCTCAAGAAAAATAAAAACCCTAAAAAAGTCGTGATTTTTGTCAATTTTCGCTTGTAGCTTCTACACGGTTGCTTGTGCCGCTTTGAAAATAGCTATACATTATAGCTACTACTCCTAGCAATCCCTAAAAATTAATTTTGTGTAATGCCCCGCCGTCTGAGTGACTCAAAAAAAGCGAAAACCCTAAAAAAGTCATGATTTTTGTCAATTTTCGCTTGTAGCTTCTACACGGTTGCTTGTGCCGCTTCGAAAACAGCTACACATGTTAGCTTCCACTCCTAGAAATCAAGAAAAATTAGTTTTGTGTAATGCCCCGCCGTCTGAGTGTCTCAAATCAAAAAAATTAAAAACCCTAAAAAACTCGTGAATTTTGTTAATTTTCGATTGTAGTCTCTACACTCAGACGGCGGGGCATTACACAAATAGTTATTTTTGTCACAAGTACCTAAAATGAAGTTTTTCAGGACGAATCATCGCTGTTTAGGAATAGCAGATGAGTCCTGAAAAACTTCGTTAGGTACGTGTGAAAAACACTATTTTTTGTCATACGCTTTTTAGAATTTTTCAGAACATCCTTAATTTTTGAAATCATAAAGGTGCATCCAGAAAGAAAGGAAAAATTCTAAAAAGAAGCATTTTTGACTTGAATGAGTCCGTAAAATAGCTGTTTTTGGGAGCGTATGACAAAAAATAAATTTTTATTGATTGCTAGGAGTAGTAGCTGTAATGTATAGCTATTTTCAAAGCGGCACAAGCAACCGTGTAGAAGCTACAAGCGAAAATTGACAAAAATCACGACTTTTTTAGCGTTTTTATTTTTTTTGAGACACTCAGATGGCGGGGCATTACACAAAATTAATTTTTATGGATTGCTAAGGGTAGTAGCTAAAATGTGTAGCTATTTTCAAAGCGGCACGAACAACCGTATAGAGGCTACGATCGAAAATTGACAAAAATCACGACTTTTTTAGGGTTTTTATTTTTTTTGAGACACTCAGACGGCGGGGCATTACACAAAATTATTTTTTATGGATTGCTAGGAGTAGTAGCTATAATGTATAGCTATTTTCAAAGCGGCACACGCAATCGTGTAGAAGCTACAAGCGAAAATTGACAAAAATCATGACTTTTTTAGGGTTTTCGCTTTTTTTGAGTCACTCAGACGGCGGGGCATTACACAAAATTAATTTTTAGGGATTGCTAGGAGTAGTAGCTATAATGTATAGCTATTTTCAAAGCGGCACAAGCAACCGTGTAGAAGCTACAAGCGAAAATTGACAAAAATCATGACTTTTTTAGGGTTTTTGTTTTTTTTGAGACACTCAGACGGCGGGGCATTACACAAAATTAATTTTTATGGATTGCTAGGAAGAGTAGCTATAATGTTTAGCTATTTTAAAAGTGGCACACGCAACCGTGTAGAGGCTACAAGCGAAAATTGACAAAAATCACGACTTTTTTGGGGTTTTTATTTTTTTTGAGACACTCAGACGGTGGGGCATTACACAAAATTAATTTTTATGGATTGCTAAGAGTAGTAGCTATAATGTATAGCTATTTTCAAAGCGGCACAAGCAACCGTGTAGAAGCTACAAGCGAAAATTGACAAAAATCACGACTTTTTTAGGGCTTTTATTTTTTTTGAGACACTCAGACGGCGGGGCATTACACAAAATTAATTTTTATGGATTGCTAGGAGTAGTAGCTATAATGTATAGCTATTTTCAAAGCGGCACACGCAATCGTGTAGCAGCAACAAGCGAAAATTGACAAAAATCACGACTTTTTTAGCGTTTTTATTTTTTTTGAGACACTCAGATGGCGGGGCATTACACAAAATTAATTTTTATGGATTGCTAAGGGTAGTAGCTAAAATGTGTAGCTATTTTCAAAGCGGCACAAACAACCGTATAGAGGCTACGATCGAAAATTGACAAAAATCACGACTTTTTTAGGGTTTTTATTTTTTTTGAGACACTCAGACGGCGGGGCATTACACAAAATTATTTTTTATCGATTGCTAGGAGTAGTAGCTATAATGTATAGCTATTTTCAAAGCGGCACACGCAATCGTGTAGAAGCTACAAGCGAAAATTGACAAAAATCACGACTTTTTTAGGGTTTTTGTTTTTTTTGAGACACTCAGACGGCGGGGCATTACACAAAATTAATTTTTATGGATTGCTAGGAAGAGTAGCTATAATGTTTAGCTATTTTCAAAGTGGCACAAGCAACCGTGTAGAGGCTACAAGCGAAAATTGACAAAAATCACGACTTTTTTGGGGTTTTTATTTTTTTTGAGACACTCAGACGGTGGGGCATTACACAAAATTAATTTTTATGGATTGCTAAGAGTAGTAGCTATAATGTATAGCTATTTTCAAAGCGGCACAAGCAACCGTGTAGAAGCTACAAGCGAAAATTGACAAAAATCACGACTTTTTTAGGGTTTTTATTTTTTTTGAGACACTCAGACGGCGGGGCATTACACAAAATTAATTTTTATGGATTGCTAGGAGTAGTAGCTATAATGTATAGCTATTTTCAAAGCGGCACACGCAATCGTGTAGCAGCAACAAGCGAAAATTGACAAAAATCACGACTTTTTTAGCGTTTTTATTTTTTTTGAGACACTCAGATGGCGGGGCATTACACAAAATTAATTTTTATGGATTGCTAAGGGTAGTAGCTAAAATGTGTAGCTATTTTCAAAGCGGCACGAACAACCGTATAGAGGCTACGATCGAAAATTGACAAAAATCACGACTTTTTTAGGGTTTTTATTTTTTTTGAGACACTCAGACGGCGGGGCATTACACAAAATTATTTTTTATGGATTGCTAGGAGTAGTAGCTATAATGTATAGCTATTTTCAAAGCGGCACACGCAATCGTGTAGAAGCTACAAGCGAAAATTGACGAAAATCACGACTTTTTTAGGGTTTTTGTTTTTTTTGAGACACTCAGACGGCGGGGCATTACACAAAATTAATTTTTATGGATTGCTAGGAAGAGTAGCTATAATGTATAGCTATTTTCAAAGTGGCACAAGCAACCGTGTAGAAGCTACAAGCGAAAATTGACAAAAATCACGACTTTTTTGGGGTTTTTATTTTTTTTGAGACACTCAGACGGTGGGGCATTATACAAAATTAATTTTTATGGATTGCTAAGAGCAGTAGCTATAATGTATAGCTATTTTCAAAGCGGCACAAGCAACCGTGTAGAAGCTACAAGCGAAAATTGACAAAAATCACGACTTTTTTAGGGTTTTTATTTTTTTTGAGACACTCAGACGGCGGGGCATTACACAAAATTAATTTTTATGGATTGCTAGGAGTAGTAGCTATAATGTATAGCTATTTTCAAAGCGGCACACGCAATCGTGTAGCAGCAACAAGCGAAAATTGACGAAAATCACGACTTTTTTAGGGTTTTTGTTTTTTTTGAGACACTCAGACGGCGGGGCATTACACAAAATTAATTTTTATGGATTGCTAAGAGTAGTAGCTATAATGTATAGCTATTTTCAAAGTGGCACAAGCAACCGTGTAGAGGCTATAAGCGAAAATTGACAAAAATCACGACTTTTTTGGGGTTTTTATTTTTTTTGAGACACTCAGACGGTGGGGCATTACACAAAATTAATTTTTATGGATTGCTAAGAGTAGTAGCTATAATGTATAGCTATTTTCAAAGCGGCACACGCAATCGTGTAGCAGCAACAAGCGAAAATTGACGAAAATCACGACTTTTTTAGGGTTTTTGTTTTTTTTTGAGACACTCAGACGGCGGGGCATTACACAAAATTAATTTTTA